CACCTAGATGCCCGTGTCACACACAGATCACACACCTAGATGCCCGTGTGTACACACACAGATCACACACCTAGATGCCACGCACCTAGATGCCCGTGTGTACACACAGATCACACACAGATCACACACCTAGATGCCGGTGTGTGCACACACAGATCACACACCTAGATGCCTGTGTGTACACAGATCACACACCTAGATGCCGGTGTGTGCACACACAGATCACACACCTAGATGCCCATGTGTACACACACAGATCACACACCTAGATACCTCTGTGTACACACAGATCACACACCTAGATGCTCGTGTGTACACACGGATCACGCACCTAGATGCCCGTGTGTACACAGACAGATCATACACCTAGATACCCGTGTGTACACACACAGATCACACACAGATCACACACCTAGATGCCCGTGTGTACACACGGATCACGCACCTAGATGTCCGTGTGCACACACAGATCACGCACCTAGATGCCCGTGTGTACACACACAGATCACACACCTAGATGCCCGTGTGTACACACACAGATCACACACAGATCACACACCTAGATGCCCGTGTGTACACACACAGATCACACACCTAGATGCCTGTGTGTACACACAGATCACGCACCTAGATGCCCTGTGTACACACACAGATCACACACCTAGATACCCGTGTGTACACAGACAGATCATGCACCTAGATACCCGTGTGTACACACACAGATCACACACCTGGATGCCCGTGTGTACACACACAGATCACACAAAGATCACACACCTAGATGCCCGTGTGCACACACACAGATCACGCACCTAGATGCCTGTGTGTACACACACAGATCACACACAGATCACGCACCTAGATGCCCCAATGAGAATTCAATTTGCTACTCTATTTTGAACTGATTCATGCGGTTCCAGTCAATGTCATACTGGTCCCCGCTACACCTCTGTTTGAGGGTATAATAAGCTTTCATAGCTGGAAACTTAGAACTTACACTGAATTCCTAATGTCTCCTGCAAGTAGAAGGTAGGAGGATATAGCAATCACAAGTAGCTTTCATTATTGGAAGTTATGGGAGGATTTCAATGGCTATTGTTACTCAGCCGCCCACTACCTCCAAGAAATGGGCACCTGAGCTGCAGTAGGGCTGGAAATACGCCAGCGACTGTGCTTCTGCCATCCTGGGCCACCTGCCCTTTCGTGTCTCGTGGCTGAGTGGTCTCAGGATCATGGTTGGGGTTCTGACCATCTGGGGGACGCCCAGTCCAGTCCCACCTGCACAGGCACCATTACCCTTCAGTCTCGGGAAAGGCAAGCTGTAGAGGTCACCTTTGTGTGGCAGAGGACAGATTTTATGCAATTTTGTTACTATTCTAATATCGAATAGAGGGTACATTCTTGAAGCAGAATAGATCAGGGGAAATGAGACACAGGAAATAGCAAGTAGAAATTCAGAGATAAACATTGTATTAATGAATACGCTGGTTTAAATACAGACATACATATTTTCTTAGGCCTTGTGTTGCCACAATAT